CAGTCAGCCTTCTTTTAAGTATTTTTTTTATTAATCAGATCTTACTTGTAAAAGATACATTAACTATTTTCTTCATATTAAGTTAACTGAACATTATTGAGTGTGTCCTGTGGGTCCAAGTGTACTACTTAGTGTTTCTGAGGGAAGTTGAATAAAGCTCAGTGCTAACCTTCAAGGAGTGTTCTTTGAATAGAGATTTAGGTTAGAAAAAGACGCTTAGCTAGGCATGGTGGCTCATGCCTGTAATCTCAGCACTTTGGGAGGCCGAGGCCGGTGGATCACATGAGACCAGGAGTTCAAGACCAGCCTGGCCAACATAGCAAGATCCTGTCTCTACTAAAAATACAAAAATTAGCTGGATGTGGTTGTGCGTGGCTGTAATCTCAGCTACTCGGGAGGCTGAGGCAGGAGAATTGCGTGAACCCGGAAGGCGGAGGTTGCTGTGAGCTGGGATCACGCCACTGTATTCCAGCCTGGGTGACAGAGCAAGACTCTGTCTCAACAACAACAACAACAAAAAAAAAAAAAAAAGAAAAAAAGAAAAAGTCTTTCTCTTTTGAAGATATTTCAGGAATTGATTTTAACATGTTTGTTTACCCAGAAACCTTTTTGATGAGGTAGATTATGAAGTGTTTTTTGTTGTTGTTGTTTGTTTTTTGTTATTTTGAGACGGAGTTTCATTCTTATTGCCCAGTCTAGAGTGCAATGGCATAATCTCAGTTCACTGCAACCTCCACCTCCCCGGTTCAAGAGATTCTCCTTCCTCAGCCTCCCAAGTAGCTGGGAGTACAGACATGTGCCACCACGCCCTGCTAAATTTTTTTGTATTTTTAGTAGAGACGAGGTTTCTCCATGTTGGTCAGGCTGGCCTCGAACTCCCAACATCAGGTGATCCGCCCACCTCTGCCTCCCAAAGTGCTGGGATTATAGGCTTGAGCCACTGGCCCACGAAGTGTTTTAATAGAGCACTTTATCTTTTCAAGACAATGGCAACTCAGTACCTATCCATAATAGTTGTAATGTTAGAAAGCTTTAAATGGTACCCACTGTTTTCCCACAAGCATGGATAACATGGTTGAAACTCTGGTTTATGAATTAGTTTGGTTTTCAGTTACAGCTTTCTTCCTGGCTACCATAATGGGTGTGAGATTTAAGAGGTCCAAGAAAATAATGCCTGCTGGTCTGGTTGCAGGTTTGAGGTAAGTAAAGCTATTTTGATCAATACTTTCCTCTGCTATTGTTTTGAAGTGCTGAATTTTTGGGAAACATCAATTTTAATTTGAAAGATCAAAGTCCTTTTTGTTACAATAAGCATGACAGTAAAAACCTTAAGATAGCATGGATTCAGTGGGTCTTTGATATTGATGTACCCATGAACATTCTTACTGGCTATGCATAGTGCTGCTGTAGTATTGAGTCACAAAGCCATACTCGCCTTTTTCAGAAGAAAGAACTAAACTCAGCCTCATTTTTCCTCAGGATTCACCCATCTGCAACAGTAAATGTGTTCATTTAAATCTAATACTCAGTCCCTTTTAGAAAGTTTGACAGAGTGACAGTGTGATACAGTTATTTCAAGTTTTTAAGGGAGAGAAATTTAATATTTTTAAGAGTTTTTAAGAGAGAAGTTTTAATATTTTTTAAAAGATAAACAGAGAACCTCAAGTTTCTCTTAATTTGATCCAGTAATTCTATCCATGAGATTAAGCATATTACCAAATAAAAATTTAGAGATAGCATTTTAAAAATTTCTCCGGAAAGTTGGCTTTATATGTTGAAAGCTATAAACATGTTTATTTCCTTTGATAGACATTTTCACTTTTTGGAATTTATTCCAAAGCAGTGAGATATGCACAAAGACTGATGTTCGTTGTAACTTTATTTCCAATGAAAACACGATAGACTGAAAAATTAGGAACAACCTAACAGTTCACCAGTAAGGAGATGTTTGAATAAATGTTTTGTCCATTTAATGGAATATTGAGTGAGCATTACATTTTTATGTTTTCAAAAATGATTTGGTGGCATTGGAAAATCTTAGTGACATAAGTAAGGTATAAAAACAGGATAAAAAACAACCAAATATAGTGTGATTAAAACAATGTTTGTGTATAAAAAAACAGGAAGGAAATACTTCAAACTGTTAGTAGTGTTTTTCTGTGGGTGGTAGCGTGATGAATAATTTTAATGTTCCTCTTTCTACTTTAGTCACACTACTACTTTTTCTACTCTAGTCACACTAGAATTTTCTAGTGTGACTAGAATTTTCAGGGAGGGGAGGAGGAGTGTGATTACAAAAGACAGCTTTCCAGTTATAGCCCTGTTCTAAAAGTGATACTTGGTGGTGGGAAGAATCAGAAGTAGGGTTTATGGGCTGGGTGTGGTGGCTCACGCCCGTAATCCCAGCACTTTGGGAGGCTGAGGCGGGTGGATCACTTAAGGTCAGGAGCTCAAGGTCAGGACCTCAAGACCAGCCTAGCCAACATGGCACAACCCCATCTCTACAAAAATTAGCCAAGTGTGGTGGCGGGCACCTATAATCCCAGCTACTTGGGAGACTGAGGCAGAATTGCTTGAGCTCAGGAGGTGGAGGTTGCAGTGAGCCAAGATTGCGTCACTACACTCCAGCTTGGGTGACAGAGTGAGACTCCATCAGAAAAAAAAAAAAAAAAAAGGAAGTAGAGTTTATGGATCCAGAAGAAGGCCCCAGTTAATAGAAAGTAGCTGAGATTAAATTAGTAACTCCCCTAAGTTGGTCCTCGATTATTTTTTCAAGTTGCTTTATTTTACTGGCTTTTGAAAGTTTGTTTCTTCCCAAACCTTTCTCTTATAAACCCTCATCCAAGGTTTTCAGGACAGCAGGTTCTGATTTTTCCTTATTCATTTAGCAAACATTTTAAAGTGGCTAATTCAGTTATGTCTGGGATGTTTTAATCCTCCAAGGGGTTGAACTGGGAGAGTCCCCAAGCCAAGATTAGTAACACCAATGGGTAGGCGAGTGCATGGCCCTTTCTGTCTTATGCCAGATAAAAGTGACTCTCCTTTTGTCTTTGTTTTATTTTAAATCCAGCCTTATGATGATCCTGAGACTTGTCTTGTTGCTGCTCTGAGCATCTGGAGGAACAGAAAACTAAGTTCATGTCATCCTGCTGTAATGGGCAGAGCATATTTTTTTGTATTTAAAAGATAAACTTCAATATGGAATGCTAGAAACACAAATAGCACTGTCACCTCTAATATGAACATTAGTTTGAGGTAGTTTTTTTCTAAAGCAAAGTTTTAACTGTTTTCTAATTGTCAAGCGCCGTTTTCATTAAAAGTGTCTAATGAATCATGATATGCGCTTCCATTTGCTGTGTCTATTTTCTATATATTTGGTATTTTGTGAAAATTCTGAATACTCATGTCTCAAGTAAGCTTAAACTACAACTTGTCACGTAAAGCAGTTCTTAAGTGGAGTTCACAGAATGCTAATGTATCTATTTGTCATTTGTGTTATATTTGAAATTATTAGAAATTATACTTTTTCCATTTTAATTGTATTGCTGCCAGTGCTATTTTTTTCTTTAAAAAATTTTATTCTTAGCACACTCTTACGTCCTAACAGAATGTATTCAGTATTCAAATAAAAGACATTTTGGTTCAAACCTGTTTCTTTCATGTTAGTTTTTCCTCTGAATACTCAAATCATCTTTGACATTTAAATGTTCAATTATTAACGAAAAGGGTTGAGAAGGAGGGCTTATTTAAGCCAACACTCTACTTCCTCAGGAGTAGATATTTTTTCTCTCTTAAAGAGTAACAATTCTGAAACAAAACGAATTTTGTTTCAAATTACCACTTTATTTTTAGGCATAGTTATAACTTTTAACGTCCAAGGCACTTTTAGGGTCCAAACTGAACATCAGGAAACCCGAATCCCAGCCCAATTCTTCCACCCATCTGATGCTCTTTGGAAGGTCATTTCCTTTCCCTCTGACTCAGTTTCTCGTCCTTAAGGAGGAATTGAACTAAAGGCTCGACCCCTTAGAGCTCTAAAAATCTCCAGTTCCTATCCTGTTGGCTCTGTGCAGTGATGTCATATTTCAAACCCTTTTTTTAAGTGAAAGTGTAGGGTCCTCAACTGATAACAGCAGAGTTCATGTGGTTCTGTTCCATCGGTTACCTTTCCCAACTGACTTTCAAGGAGGTTGTTAAACTTTCAGTGATAAGTAATTCAATTAAGGGCAGGAAAAAGCTCTACCAGTTGCACTGACTAGGAAATCTAGATAAAATTCTTTGACGTACTTAAAACCCAATTTAAAGAAGAAGAAAAAAAATCCCTTGAATCCTAATGGTGGCAAAGAGGTTGTTACCACAGGCAAGGCTGGAAAAAGCCGTCATCATTGAGGTGCTCTGCTCACTCACTAGCTGTCAGAGATGATTGAGGAGAATCTTCAGATTCCGACTGACAGCAGCTTATAATAGTCAAAACCGATTATGATACTGAAGTAGAAACTAACTGTGAAATTGATCCTAGAAATACATGCCGTGTCTGCAGAATATTCTAGTGATTGAAAGTTTAAGAAACTAGTTTGAAGCTATGCTGTTCCCTGGACTTTTCCCAAAATGTGGTAGAAGTGTATGATGGTGATGTGTGTGCTTTTTGTTTTGTTTTGTTTTTAAAGAAATCTTTGACATTCATTTGCATATTTGTGATTTTACTCTTTTGCGATACGTAGAAGGATTTATATTTGGATGGTTCTGATTAATTGGTGTTTTTTTGTCTTATGAAAAATAGAAAAGGCTGTCTAGCTTACAGGTATTAGGCAGTTTATGTCTTCATGTTTCATTACTTTATTACATTAACATGGCTTTATGATATTTTTATGGGTCTGCTACAAATGCAGAGTGAAATATTTACTATGTTTCTTAGACTTAATTTGTTTCATTTGTTAATACTCAGCTACTGTACTGTTCATGTTTTTAAGAAACATACCACGTTCCAATTTAAATGTGTTCTTCACAGTCTCAATGGATTCTTCATCCGGTGGAGACTTCCTTTGGCTTCCAGGTTGGAGAAATTTATTAATTGTGGGGATGTGGCTGCTTCTGGCCTTGAATTTCTAAAATGCAAAAGAACCCTATCCATGAGAGAAGAATACAGCAAAACAAAGTAAAATGCAAATGAGCCACATTCTGGTGGAGGTGGGGGATAATTGGGATTTTCATACATTGTGTGGCATTGCAAAGTGATACTGCCACTTTGCAAGTTAGCCATATTTCTCAACCACAAAAATATTCATAGGCTATTACCAAGTGATTCCATTTTAAAAATTATATCCTAATGATGTAATCTTAAATGTGGAAAAATCTACACCTACAAAGATGTTGTTGCAACATTATTTATAAAAACAAACATTCTAAAGCATCCTGGTATACAATAAACAGAAGTCCTCATTTTTCTTATGCCAGAAGCATTTTTCGTGTTATGTAATCTTTGAAAACATAACTTTAAGTGGCTGCATAGAATTCTATCCAATGGATGTATCCTTATTTATGTAGACATTTCTCAGGTATGAGACATTTAAGTTGTTTATGATTTTCACTGTTTAAAATCAAGTTAGGCTGTGGCACGGGTGAAAGTGGCCACTTTGGCAGTGCCTCATCCTCGCAGCTAGTGGGAAACAAGCGTGTTCTAGAAAGCCGGAGACTCCAGCGACCCCTCTTACCAACATCATGGCAGTCCCAGGTTGCAACAAGGACAGTGTCAGAGCAGGCTGTAAAAAATATGGCTTCCTGGCCACCTGACTTTTGAATGCTGCAACTTTCTCCAAGTAGACCCCAAAGGGACATAGTGAAGATTGATGAATAAAATTAAGAACTGAATAAATTGCAGGTATTACAGGAAAAAAATAAATGAAGAGGAGAAGAAAAAGCAAAGAGAAAATCAATTTTTTTAAAAAACAAAGAGGTCTTATTCATCCAGTTCCACTGAAGAGGACATTGCAAAAGAAACAAAAATATCAGAAGAAAGAAAAGAAAAAAAAGGCTGGGTGTGGTGGCTCACACCTGTAATTCCAGCACTTTGGGAGGCTGAGGTGGGTGGATCATGAGGTCAGGAGTTCAAGACCAGCTAGTCAACATGGTGAAATCCCATCTCTACTAAAAATCCAAAAAAAAAAAAAAAAAATTATCTGGGCATAGTAGCTACTTGGGAGGCTGAGGCAGGAAAATCGCTTGAACCTGGGAGGCAGAGGTTGCAGTGAGCCGAGACCACACCACTGCACTCTATCCTGGGCAACAGAGCAAGACTCCATCTCAAAAAAAAAAATAAAAGAAAAAGGAAAAAAAAAAGTAAATCAAAAAAAGAAAGCTGGGTGTGGTGGCTCACACTTGTAATCCCAGCACTTTGGAAGGCAGAGGCAGGCAGATCACCTGAGGTTGGGAGTTCAAGACCAGCCTGGCCAACATGGTGAAACCCATCTCTACTAAAAATACAAAAATTAGCCAGGGGTGGTGGCGGGCACCTGTAATCCCAGCTACTTGGGAGTCTGAGGCAGGAGAATCTCTTGAACCCGGGAGGCAGAGGTTGCAGTGAGCCGAGATTGTGCCACTATGCTCAGCTTGGGGAACAGAACAAGATATCATTTCCAAAAAAAGAAAGAAAAAGAAAAAAGGAAAATCATTCTTCAACCCCTGTTTGTTATGAATCCTCCAAAAAGTAACTGAGGCTTTAGCTTAAGCCATTAAATTTAAATATTTGTTTAAAAATTATTTGCCCTTCCTTGGAATTTGCTATATATTATGCTTTGCAATAAATCGCAGCCTTTTCCATATAGACATTTTTCATGTGTGGTACCGTTATCCCTCTAGCAATATATTTTTAATGTGCTATGACTATAAAGTATTAAATCAGTCTTGTTACTTGATAGCCATGCCCCAAGTATAGCTATTTGTACATACTAAACATATCATTTTTGGTGTTTGTGTCTCTGTGTGTTTGGCTGGTGTTCCTAAGTTGATTGTAAAATGGCTTTACTACAGTCAACACAGGTAATCTACCTACCTGTTAATGAGTATTGCTGAATCAGGAGTCCATCTTCCAGTAATGAAGCTAGGTATGGGGTAATGTTTTGCTCTTGACACTGAAAAATTTAATAGCTTTGTAAGATATATAAAGATAGTGAAATTCTGTACTGTTTTTTAAATCTCTAGGGGTTTTTAAAATATAGAAGATGAAACTGCTTAATAGTTTTGACTAGGGCTTTTAAAATGAATGGTGGCTGCGGGAAGTTGATCATGAAAACATTTAAACAAAGTTTCATTGTTTTATGAAATGCAGAGTTTCTAATAGCTGCCTCCTTTGTTTTTGTAACAATTAAAATATTTCTTGTTAAAAAGATTATTTTGAACATAATAAATGGAATATACATATAATCAAGAAAAGTTTCAAAAATAGACTCCATTGTAAAGAAATGAGGCAGACTAACAATGTCAAAACATGTTTATAATGTAATATGGGTCAGGTGCAGTGGCTCATGCCTGTAATCCCAGCACTTTGGGAGGCTGAGGCAGGAGGATCATTTGAGCCCAGGACTTCAGGACATCTGCTTTCTCTTATGTTACATTTTAGTTTACCACATTATATTGTAGTTACCAGTCTATGCGCTTGGTTTCGCCAGGAGATAGCTGCCTTGAGGGCATCTTTGTATTTCTAGCACAGGCCTTAGCATAAAGAAGTTAGTAGGTTCATAAATGATGGTGAATGACTGAATGAAAGAATAAGTGGATAATACAAATTCATTCTCCCTGCAGTTCTTGGGAGCTATTTGAGTACCATTACCTGTAGCAGAGGAAAGCCCAAGAGGACACTGGGTTTGCACTCTTCAGTCATTAAGATAACTTCAGGTTGCTGTGTATCAGCCCGGCTCAGCCGATTGCACATAAGAAAATCTTGTCAGTGGTCTCTCAGTGCCTGCATGATGGTTAATAAGGAAAAGGCAGAAGATGAAGGACTCACCTAACATATAATTTAAAGTCAGCTTGATTTGGCAGAAAGTCTTCTAGAAGTTAAGAGACCTGGCTTCTAATTTGTTCTTTGTCACTGGCTAGCTGTGTAAGCTCAAGCAAATCCCATTTCTCTTGGGCTTCATGAGGTGAAAGGAATGGAATAACTTAAATCCTCCTGACTTATTCTGAACATAGGAAACAGCTTTATCTCATGTGCTTGTCTTCTTTTCACCTTCTCTCCCTGTACCTATCCTGTGAACCTCTGTAGAGTGATTTTCGCACCACACCCTCCATTGGTGGCTCTTCCGGGGCCTATGGTATTTTCTCCTTGCACCATCTCAGGGTGTGTTCTTTGGTGTGCTGCTCTTTGGAAGGTACTGTGTTTGCAGGGGGAGTGTCATTCTCAGAGGGACCCAATCCTCATTTTTATAAGCAAATTGTCTTCAAATAGGGCTGTAAATTATGACTTTGAGTCAAAATTGATCAAATACAAAATGAAATGTAAGTTTGGAGGAGGTGGTCACTAAGGTACATTCCAGGCCATAGACTTCATGATGTTTTGATACTTGAGCAGAGACCTGAGTACAGGTTCCAACTTTATTAGTTGTGTGACATTGGGCAAGTTACGTTGCTTCTTTAAGATATAGTTGCTTCATCTGTAAATGAGGAAATAATTTATTCTTATTTACAGATGAAGCAACCACATGGTATCTTGTGGAGTTATTATGAAGATTAAATAGATTAATGCATGTATAGCACGGCACTTGACACTCAGTAAAGGTGAGCCATTATTATCATTAGCACTGTTCTTAGTGCAGTTACAGTCCCATTTTTAGTTATGAGAAGTCTGTGCTTCATAGTATCTTACAACAAAAACTTCATGCATTAGTTTACCACATGGTGGTGGTAAACATTCACTCTGTTGTCAGTATTTGTATGATAAAAGATCTTAAATTACATGCTGATTACAAAGGAATATATTATCTTTGAAATACTTTTGAAGGAAACAATATGGGGAAAACCTGGGGGTGTAGAATATTCACAGTTTGATCCAGTTGGAGCTAGGAACTCACCAAGTGTAATTAAGGGAAAAGTCTAACTGAGGAAGTTAGGGTATCTGTCATCTATGCCAAATACATAAGTATCAACGAGATAATCTATGTTACATGATTAGGCTCTAAAATTGTTGATCATGATAAATATATTCAAATATATGTATTAAATCATTTAATGAGAACTATTGTTATTCAACCCAAAAAGGATAGATTAAATCAGCATGGCAGGTGAGTTTGAAAAACTTATCTGGTTCTTTTTTCTTTGTTTTTACCAAGCCCTAACATTTTTCATCATCTTTTCCTAGACTTACCAATATTATAATCAATGCACCTGGAGGTGAAGAGCATTGATAACTAAAGAAGCCATCCAACCCTGACTAAGTGCAAGCTTTAAGACAGCATTTTACAGATGTTAAAAATGCAGAGATATGAATGCTGAAGCATCATGTTTAAAACAATTTTTTAACTTTTAGAATACTGCATAGAATTCTAACCTTATAAACAGCCCTGAGCCCCAGGACTGTCCTGTGTATTTTAGAAATAATATCCATCCCCTCTCCCCCAGCTCTCCCATTAGTGTGGGATTTCCTCCTTTAGAATCTTATTTATTAGGCCCTATTTTAAAGCAGGTAACTGAAATTCTATCAGCACCAGAACCACAAATAGTGCTGAAATTATGCATACAATTCTTTAAAAAATAAAATCCAGAAGACCAGGATGAGAGGAAGGAGAGCAGATTTTTCGTATAACTGCAAGTGTGGGAAGAATTTTGAGCTTTCACAAAGGGTTTGGAGATCTTTATCAATAAAATTCTTTGTCTATTTTTAGTATCGTTTGTTTTTCTCCCCCTTGATCCAAGTCATAAAGCAGGGCAGGAGTTGGTTGCTTACCTTCTCACAGACAGGGAAGAATCTTGTAGTGGCTTTTTCAAGGATGTATGCAAGATTCATCTCCTCTTCAGGCAGAGACAGTGGCAAGAACATAATTATGTCACTCAGGTCCTTCAAGCCTTCTACATACATATCAATCCTAGAAAAAGGGTGGTAATTCAAAAAAGAGTTACAGATAAAGGGAAGTCTCATTTCACGGGCCAAAGAAACATTTTAAGTAGTGCCTCAGTTTCACCCGCTTAGTTATCAAGTGTTCTCATGGAGCATTGTTCCAGGAGCTAAAGCCAAGCGTTTTCAGCAGCATACTGTTCTTTTAGATCCAACTGGGAGATAGAAAAGTTGTAGGATCAAAGTGTGTGAGCAATTATATGTATGTGACTGTCAATTATGTAACACTAGTGTTAATAAAATACATACACACAAAGTATTAAAATAATCCCAAAGCAACAAATTGGGCAAATATCATTTATGGCTGTTTAGTTGTTGTAATAATAGTGAGATCACCCATGCTGCTACGGGTGATGCATGTGGAAGAAGAGGTAATAAGGACCTCTGCACTGCCAAACACATCTCCATCTGGATTGAAGGTTCTCAAACATCGTAGAGCAATTTCATAGAACACAAAACTTACACAAGTTCCCACTTGCCACCACCCACATCTCTGTTGCAGAATGTATGGAAACATGGATGTTATATTTGACAAGATACCATGACATAGTGAGACTACTGGTGTGGGCCTTAGGAAGCTTTGGTCTGGGTCCAAGATGAGTCTCTTAATCTTTTTGAACCACAGTTCCTTTAACCTACAATAGCAGGGCATGTCTTAAAATGGCCTCAGATTCTTTGCTACTTCTCCTATTTAGAGTAAGTTTCATTCTCCCCTTGAGTCTGAGTGGGCCTCAGAGACTTGCTTGGCCAACAGAATGTGAGGAAGTAATGTCCTCAGACTTGTATATCTAGGACATAAGTCTCACAGCTTCCACTGGGTCCTCTTGGAACATTTGCTCAGAGGCCAACCAGCTACTATGTACAAAGTCCAACTACATTGAGAACCTCATGCCATGTGGAAGCCCAAGCTAGTCCTGTGAAGAAGGCATGTGGAGAGAGACAGATGCCCCATTAGGCCCATATGGTCCAGCTGTATGGCAGATGTACTTGATAGCAATACCCTGAGAATGGTCCTATGGTCTAAGAAGAATTTGTGTTTGGAGTTCCAAGCTAAGGAATCCAGGAGTGGCCCACCTAGAGATTCATTCCTTATCTATGAGGAGCATCTGAACCCCTGGCCCATCCCATGGAATGCAGGCCATGCAAGGGATTGAGGCCCTTTGTTCTGGGTTACATAAAGGTTGCCAGGTGGAGGTTGCAAGGGAGAGGGTGCTAAGTGAAAATGCCATATAACCAGCATGCTTTTTACAAATGGTAGTTGTTCTCCTGTCCAGCCTGCCACCACTAGACTGCATTGTATGTAAGTCCCCTCAATAAATCCCAAGTCTTGTTTGCTGGCTCTAGGTCTCTTCTTTAGACTCTCATACATGGTGCCATCCCTATTGAAGTCAATAGGGATCTGGCATGACACCAGCTCTCCCAATCCAAGTGCCAGACATATGAGTAAGGCACTCCATGAGAGACTTGGAGAGAACCACCCGGCTGAGCCCTGTCAACTCAGCACCGTGAGAGATCACATTCTATAGCAACAGATAACCAGGAGAGTACTATTCTGAGCATTAGGATTGTTGTGGGTTTACACGGTTGAAAGAGTTTTGAAGTACAAAATTTGTAACATGTACAAGGTTTTATCATAATAATATACCAATGAAAGCACTAATAGTAAATAATTCATTTTCAGTTTATATGAAAGATCTATTTAAAACTGTTTTTCATTAAAAGGAACCAGAGCTTCTTAGAGAAATGACTGATTCCAGGTCTGGAGCAGGAGATGTTCAGAATTAATTGGGATTATCATCTTATACCAGATAATAAGGAAGTTATCAGAGACCACTAGGGTCAGACCAAAAATTCCCTTTGGCTCCCATTGGCCAAAGGTGGGACAGTTTGAGCATAAATAAGAATGATACCTGAAGTTAATTGAAATACATCAAAGATGTTTTGAATTGATGAGTTCATAATGATATGAAAACAACACTAATTAACAGGTCACTGCAAATGAACCAACTCATTATTTGGAAATAGTAAACAAAGGGAAAGAATCAAGCATCAGTCTTGAAAACTGTATGTCCAAGTAACCACAGAGTAGAAGAAAGGAAGTTTTTTCTTTTTCTTTTTCTTTTTTTTTTAATTTGTGACAGTCTTGCTCTGTTGACTAGGCTGGAGTGCAGTGGCACAGTCTCAGCTCACTGCAACTTCTGCCTCCTGGGTTCAAGTGACTCAGCCTCCCAATTAGCTGGTATTACAGGCGAGCACCACCACACCCAGCTAATTTTTGTATTTTAAGTAGAGACAGGGTTTTGTCATATTGGCCAGACTGGTCTCAAACTCCTGGCCTCATGTGATCCACCTGCCTCTGCCTCCCAAAGTGCTAGGATAACAGGCATGAACCACCGTTCCTGGCCCTTGTTTTTCTTTTTTGATGTTTTATTTTGCTTCTTAGCCCCTTTCTTGTGTTAGCAGAAGCTTTTCTTTATAGAAATATTTCAGGCCGAGCACAGTGGCTCATGCTTGTAATCCCAGCATGTTGGGAGGCTGAGGCAGGCGGATCACGAGGTCAGGAGTTCAAGACCAGCCTGGCCATCATGGTAAAACCCCGTCTCTACTAAAAATACAAAAATTAGCTGGGCGCGGTGGCATGTGCCTGTAATCCCAGCTACTCGGGAGGCTGAGGCAGGAGAATTGCTTGAACCAGGACCTGGGAGGCAGAAGTTGCAGTGAGCCAATATTGTGCCACTGCACTACAGCCTGGGTTACAGAGTGAGACTCCGTCTCAAAAAAAGAAAAGTAAAGAAAAAGAAATATTTCAGTTAATAGATGCAGAAGGAATGTTAGCACTGAACACCAGTGGCTACTGATATCATAAAGAATAGACAAGCAGATATTTTATGTTTCCTAACAGAGGAACACAACGACACCAAAAGTAGCCTTGTAAAAACCACTAGAACCTGAATCTGATAAAGCCTCTAAACCCAAGTACCAATTTATAAAAATACAGAGACAAGGGAACATGTTAAACTACACTGCAGGGAGGCTGCAGCAGAAATTTGGTTTCTAAGTCAGTGAGAAACTACTAGAAAGCAAGAGAAAGCTTTTGTTGAGATTTAAAAATACAAGACCAATTTTAAAATTTTTACTACATTGAAATGTTTAAAGCTAAGTTTCTGAAAACATGCATTTCTGAAATAAAACAATGGCTTCAGAAATTTATTTGAAACACATCTCATTTAGTAAAGATGGATTATTTGTTGTTTACCAATTAATGGTTTTCTAATTCTGTGCAATAATTTGCAATTTAGGGTTGCTGTTATAAACCCCAGGTAAAATAAGACTACTTTGTCAGTTTGTCGATGGGTCTGCCTATTGTAAAAGGACTGGTGCCTGCACCAAGGAATTTACTAATGTCTGGGAGGCCAGGGGGCAGATGTTGGTGTGACCAGAGATTAATGAGGTAGTTTCCAACAACCACTTCCAGAATCAATTGCGTGGGGTTAGAATGCTCCTCCCTCGAAAATTTTGAATCTGTGTTCTGGTGATTTACTCTGTGTGCCACTTCCACCTTGTGGAGGGAAACACAAATTCACAAGAAAGTGGTAGATGTACTTTACTAACGTCTCTGCTTTAGTAAATAAAGAAACAATAAACAGCTAATAAAGAGCTAAATATAGAACCAGAAAATTAAAGAAACTGTGTAATTGGCCATGAATTAGTGATTGTCAAAGGTAAATTTTGTGTATAGAGTTTATTATACTAGTCTCTTACCTTTGATATGTTAGATTTTTCTATAATACAAAGTTAAAAAACCAGAAAAGAACTTTCCATTAATCTATCAGAACTACGCTACACATGACTGCTAATAAGCTTAAAACTTTTTTTTTTTTTTTAAGTTTTATTCTAAGAAAGAAGTGATTGTTGTACCAGGCTTGCTCCTTCAGGTTCCCTCCATACAAGTCATACTTTGCAGCTATCTATCTTAGGATGGCTCTGGTTTCTACCAAATTCATTCCATGAGTTTCGACCATGGGCAAGTGTTGTCCATACATCAGGGTTCCACCTTAAAATACACAAAGGAAAGTTGGGTTATTTATTGTCTGTGATAGTAGTAACAGTTTTCTTTAAAGGTGCTACAAAATGGAACTATGTAATCAAATATTTTTAGAGGCCAAGTAAAAGGAGAAATATTTACCCATTCACTCCTACAAAAATGTGTAGAGTGCAAGAAAATGATGTTGAGTACTCTGGTAGGTACAAAGTTTTCTCTCTGGCCAAGAATTGTCCTTTCTCATTCCTTATTCTCCTTTCCTATGGTCACCCTCTTTTTACCTCTGAACTACCACAACTTTTATCTACCCAACATGCTCTTTCTGGTTGTTTTTCTGAAGCCATAAGCCTCTGCCTAAAACCTTTCTGTTATTCCCCATTTTCTTATAGGAAAATAAGCATAAATATTTAAACTGCCTGGAATTCAAAGCATGTCTTGACATTTGCCTCCCTGCACCTTCTTCTACACATGGTTTCCCAACATTCTCCCACATCAGCCTTCCATGTCCTACCCCTCCCTTCTTGGAATCCCAGTGATCTCCCTTCTGGCTGACAGCTCTCTCTGCTTCGGGCTTACTTTTTCAATATTCCCAAGGAATCTTTGCATTAAAACCAACCAACCAACAGACCAGCCAACTAACCAACCAACCAACTGTAACTAGAGAGAACAATCGTTAAATTTAAAAGACTGGAGGTACTTTCTCTCTTTCTCTCTCTCTGCCTCAGAATGGCAACAGTAAGGCTGGCTCTGCACTTTTCCCATTTAATACCTGAAGTTGAGGCAGTTCTCCCTTACATTGGTTTCAGGGTCTAGCTGGAAGACAGAACCATATCAGGTACTTTAGCACAGAGCATTAAATACAAAGGAATGAACTGTATCTTGGGGAACCGAAAGCAACAAAGGAACAGTGCAGTATCATGAAGTTGGCAACTGCTAAAGAAGACGTTATCCCCAGGGCAACAAAAACAAAGGAATGGCGTTGGAATTATTACAGCTTAGAAACTTGGAGGCAGGGCTCCTCCTAGTTGCAAGATCCAAGCACTATCTTCCTTATATGGAGATAGGATATGGATAGATACTGTTTACATAATTCTTACTGCTCTTATTTAGAATATGAGGGAGAAAGAGAGAGAGAGAGACTTTCATATTAACGGAGAGACCATCTCATCTCTTTGGTCTAATGCAACATCACAAATAACAAGGCGTTTATCTCACCTTGGATTAATTTCTCAAATTCTTCATGTGTTTCAAAAAGGTTTTCTTCAAATTGAAAAATGAAAGAATATAAGAATATGTTGCTATTAACATTTTTATTATATACTTTTTTATTATATATAACATTTTTATTTTATATATATTTATTTAATATATTATTTATGATATACTGTTGATATCACAGAAAAGAATAGAAAGTAAAAGGCCTAACCACCAATTAAACCAATATTTCAAGTAAGTTATTGAACTCATGCTGTTGTTTTCTGGATCTTATGAAAGCAAGGAAGTTTTTAAATAAAACCAAAGCAAAGGGTTGACTGAACTCAGCTGACTGAGAAATACCTATAGTCTACTATTGTGCAGATAAAACTTGCCTGGTGAACTTTTCAGCCACAAATTGATCGCAGGCTACTCCCCTTAATTGGCTCAGATAAGTTACTCTCTTCTAATTTCAGTTTCCTAACATGTGAAAATGAAGCTAATACCCACTGGTGGTGCTGTCATGATGGTTAAATGGCACAATGTATAACAAAGACTAACTCCCGTCTTGGCTCAGTATTTCACCATTGTTACTTTTTTTCTCATAACTTTCCCTTGGGTGGTGTTTGTTGCCTCTTATTTCCAGTGCTAAAGAACAGGCAAATGTTTGATTGTCTCATTACATACCTTCTCTTTAAGACAAACAGGCTTAGACATAGGAATTAAGTTGTGGCTAATCTTGGAAGTTATTTGGTAACAATCCAACAATAAAACAAAATTAACTTAAAAGATCCTTTGTTGCATATTTAAGGAAACATAAATCAAGCTATCTTTTCTTACTGCTCACAAGAGTTTTTACCAGTGTTATTGTTAGATTGTCACCAATTAACTTCTGGATACTTTCACTTTAAAATACATTTACCAATTAAATGTGTATATTTTGTAGAGTATAATTTTAACAAAATTGAAATACAATCAGTTTTCCTGTATTATTAATATTTTCTGGCATAGACATGTAAAAACCCAACAGAAACTGGAAAATATTATTTTTCCCAGATGGTATTCTATCCATTTTACAATAAAAAATAATTTGAAATGTTATATTTTACAATTTGGAGTAATAAAAAATATTCAGAGAAGATGCCAGTACATAGCTTCCTGGTCATAATTCCTAAATACTTAATGTTAAATAGTGTTAAACCTTAATGTCCTATCACTCTCTTTCCTATACCTGAAGACTAGCATTAACTTCAACTCTCAAATATAAGAGCAAGAGACATTTCAGTCTCAGGGAATTCTGCCATTTTTATAAGACAAAGAAGATGGATGTAAAACTCTCTTCCCTTACTTATTTAAAACTATTTTCAATATTATTGCACAAGTGCTAAAACTCATTGTAGAAAAATGAGAAAATATGGATAAAAATTTTCGGCCACCCATATTGGCCTTTCTCTAAAAATGAGCAGATATTTAGTAGACATGTTCTTTTCCTTATGACTATGTCTTAATGAACAGAAATGCGGCATTCAGAAATAGAAATTGGATGCTTACGGCTGGGCGCGGTGGCTCATGCCTGTAATCCCAGCACTTTGGGAGGCTGAGGCAGGCGGATCATGAGGTCAGGAGATCGAGACCATCCTGGCGAACACAGTAAAAGACCATCTCTACTAAAAAAATATATATAAAAAAAATTAGCCAGGCATGGTGGCAGGTGCCTGTAGTCCCAGCTACTCGGGAGGGCTGAGGTGGGAGAACGGTGTGAACCTGGGAGGTGGAGCTTGCAGTGAGCCGAGATCACGCCACTGCACTCCAGCCTAGGCAACAGAGCGAGACTCCGTCTCAAAAAAAAAAAAAAAAAAAAAGAAATTGGATGCTTGCTAAATTTAAAAATAATTTGTATGCAAGGGTAGAGTGTGAGTGTGAATATGGGGAGGGAGTTCTTCTTTATCCCCTCTGCTGTTTGTTTTGGTTTTGCAAAATAAGTTCTCTCTGAGTCTGCTTCACAATCCCCAATACTAGATGTTTTCTCTTTACTATCTTTGATGCTCCAGAAAACTTCCAACGTTCAGAGAGAGAGTTGGTGGGTGTCTTTCTCTCTCTCATATTTTCGCCAGAAAAAAAGGAAAGGCAGCGGCTGACATTATAATATTGGAGCTCTTCTTAACCAAAGCTTCCCTTGATGCTTAGGAAGACCAGAGAGGTTAAGTGACTTGCCTAAAGTCTTTCAGCTAAATGATAGGAGAACCAGAGCTAGGCTGCCCTCTCACCAAGCCTACTACATCTTCAATATTATCATCTTGGCAAATGTGTAATTTTATGTAAATAATAATTATAAAAGGAAGTCATCATATTCCAAAGTTGATAGCAAATATGAGAATATGAACAGGGATAACCAAGGTATAAAACAAAGCTTTCCAAAAAGCATTGTTTTCCTAAACATGCTTTGCTTTACTTATTTTTTCCCAAGCACAAATTGTTTACAACTTACAATATTTATGAAGTGTGATGAAAAATATATATGTTTGTGATTTCAGTTTCTCCTACAATTTTTCATGTCAGGAACTCCGAGGTAACTTAGGCTATCTGATCTGGCCAGGCCCCAAGAGCTCAGAGAGGCAGAGCTCAATCTCTAGTTCCAACAAGGGCTTTACCAGGGTAAGCCCTGGGAGGAGGTGGGCGGACTGCGGGAGGGTGGCAGGTTGGAGGGAGTGGTGGATTTGTGGGGAATAGGAGGCAGGCCAGCCTGCTGGCATTCACAATTCTAGATCTGGACATGAAACTATATGGGGTACATCCAGATTTCTCAGACTAGATGCTACCTAAGGAATTTTCTGCTACATTTTGATTGAGTTTCGCCAGATCACACCAAAGAGGTTTCCCTCCTGAACTTTTTATCCAAAGATAAGCAAAGCACAGCCATTTCAGCAAAATTGTATATCCTAGAGCATAATTATTAAACTTTTGAAAGTTTACTCTGACTCACAACACAAGGAAATTTCAGGCTCAGGAGGTGGCTATTGGATACAGTCATGTGCTACATAATATTTCAGTCAACCATGGACTGCTTATACAATGAGATTATAATACTGTATTTTTAGTGTAATTTTTCTATGTTTAGATACACAAATACTTTTTTTTTTTTTTTTTTTTTTTTTTTTCTGAGACAGAGTTTCACTCTTGTTGCCCAGGCTTGAGTGCAATGGCACAATCTCAGCTCACTGCAACTTCTGCCTCCCGGGTTCAAACGATTCTCCTGCCTCAGCCTCCCGAGTAGCTGGGATTACAGGCATGCACCACCATGCCCAGCTAATTTTGTATTTTTAGTAGAGATGGGGTTTCTCCATGTTGGTCAGGTTGGTCTTGAACTCCCGGCCTCAGGTGATCTGTCCACCTCAGCCTCCCAAAGTGCTGGAATTACAGGTGTGAGCCACCACGTCCAGCCTCACAAATACTTATTATTGCATTACAGTTGCCTACAGTAATCAGTACAGTAACATGCTGTACAGGTTTGTAGCCTAAGATAATAGGCTATACCATAAAGCCTAGGTGTGTAGCAGTCTTTACATCTGAGTTAGGGAGAATAAACTCTGTGTTGCTCACATGACAAAATTACCTAATGATATGTTTCTCAGAATGTATCCCATTGTTAAGTAAAGCATGACTGTCTAGAATTTCCATCTAACTCTGACAAACCATAGTAATACCAACCCTAAGTCTAAAAAGTGGTAAGGAATCAGAAGATCCAAGAAAAAGCTTCATACAGCTCAGAAAAGAGAATTGGCCTTTCATCGTTTTGTAAAAATTCGGTCATCAGACGAAGCAATGACAAATTCAGCTTTTAAAAAATGTATACTAAAAACTATTTAATGACCTCCAAAGATACCGGAGTGTTTTTGATAGGTAGGCTTTGGATTCACATTGTCTTCTGTGCATGTTTTATCATATTTTATTCTGATCTAATGCTAATGCCACAATACCTAAACATTGAAATTTTGAAAACAATTATAAAGGAGTGAACCAGTCTTCATCCACCCCCTCTTTTTCTCTCTCTCTCTCATCATTTGTCCATCCCTCATCTATCCATTTCAAAAAGGACAAATTGCAAAAACATAATATTGATTGTAAAGAGGAAAATACAGAATAGTACACAAAAGGAGCCGTTTATGTAAATTATTTCCAGAGGCCCATAAATCAGAGGTTGGTGAGCACACATAGTAAGTGCAAAAATGTAAAGACTGGACTGACTGGATAGAGGTTGCTTAAGTGGAGATAGAGGTGATGGTTCAATTAAATTTTAGACTTATTTGTTAATTTAGTATGTTTTAAACAAGATTATATTAATATATTAACTGTGGAGTTTCTTTTCTTTCCTTTTAGAGACAGAGTCTTGCTCTGTTGCTCAGGCTTGAGTGCAGTGACACGATCATAGCCCACTGCAACCTCAAACTTCTGGGCTCAAACAATCCACGTGCCTCAGCCTCCTGATTAGCCAGGACTACAGGCATGTGCCACCATGTCCAGCTAATTTTTAAAACTTTTTTGTGGGATGGGGTCTTGCTATGTTTCCCATGCTGCTCTCCAACTCTTGGCCTCAAGGAATCCTCCTTCCTTGGCCTCCCAAAGTGCTGGGATTACAGGTGTGTACCACCGCACACAGTTCTGCCTGTGTTTTTTATTTTTTATATTGAAGATAAATATGACAAAATATTAATAATTGCTCATACCAGGTAGTGAGATCATGTTTGTTTATTGCAATATTCTTTGTACTTTTCTTTGTGTACTTTCAAAAATTTCATTTAAAATTTTAAAATTCAAACCAAAAGATTTTTAGAAAAAAAATGGCGATGAATCTTTTACAAAGATTTTTTTTGGCATTATTGTAGCATGATCAGATTACATAAAATTGTACATTTCACAAAATATTTAAATATAAACCATGTTCTGGGCTGCATTCATATAAAGTATCTCAATTTCTAGAGAACAAATGAACTTAGTGCCTTCTGTCAGGAGTAAAACAGTATATAGAACATTTTAGTGAATATCAAGTCATCAGGGTTACTTGCTGTCCCCATGTTAAACCACAGTGGAGCTGGACATAACCTTAAAGAACATTCCCTGCTCCTTCATCTTTGAATCTAAGAGACCATTTTGGAATGACTACAGAAACTTTTTCTGAATGGGTTACAGAAGAGGCTAATTCCTTATATTTATAATTAATATGCATATAGACAAAGATTTATTTTTGAAAGGTGTTTATGAACTTCAATAGCTTAGCTTTTAAGTATGTTGAGAACAGGAGTTTTTAAAAGTCCATTAAAAAATAGGAGACATATTTTTGGCAGTGAATGATATGCTCTTGTGTCAGTACCTACAAGTTTGTTCTTTACTTTTAAAGAAAATGATCTGTTTCTTATTATTCTTGAGACAAATGTAGTTAAATGAATGCAACACCTGGCTGGTAAGAATGAAGTGAGAAGAAGCAGACTTCCTTCCTTCCTTCCTTCCTTCCTTCCTTCCTTCCTTCCTTCCTTCCTTCCTTCCTTCCTTCCTTCCTTCTTTCCTTCCTTCCTTCCCTCCCTCCTTCCTTCCTTTCTTCCTCCTTGCTTCCCTGCCTCCCTTCCCTCCTCCCTTTTCACATTTTTCCTTCTTTTCTTTGCTAACTATATAGAACTTTATTTGTATCATCTTGGGTGGGCTTAGTATCAGCAACCAGTTATCAAGTATTTGGGCATTTATTTGAAAGAACTATGTAATTCACAGCCCAATGTTTAAAGATCATGTGGTGAAAATTGCTTTTTTTTTCTGGGAATCATATAAAGAGTTTTCTACAACTTTTCCCTAAGTAAGTGCTTAATGACCCCAAGATAAAAATAATTTGAATAAATCCACATCTTACCTCTACTCTAGCTGCAGCCAAGAGCCATCGGATGGATTCCATCCTGCCTCTTCCATTGAAGTAGTGAAGCCGGGGCTTCCCTCCATGCTTAAGGATTTCTGAAAATCAACATAGAGAGACTGACTGAGACTCTTCTGCACAGAGAAGCATAAATACAAGTTTACAGAGCAGCACAAGGTTGATCACAAAGCTGCGGACTTGCAACTTATGCCCCAAATTAAAGCTGCTTCTCAGCTACAAGGCTACTTGCATTCTGTGTTCTTTCTCACAAATGGAATTCATCCTCACAAATTGGTGTTCTAAATTTCTTCAAAACAAAACAAAACAAAACAAAACAAAAAACTAAATGAACAACTGGTATATTACTTTTAAATAGAAAGAGAGTGAGGAAGCCAGACAGATGGAAGGAATTCAAGAGTAAGGCTGACCAGCTTTTCTTCCTGTATGAAGGGGTAAGGTTTTAGCATACCAATCTTTTCTCTCTGTTTGTATACGGATCTTCCTCCCTTTCCAATCAAGACAAGCCCAGCCTGGAGAAACTGGGCGGAGTTAGGGGAGGTTGAAGTTTCACTTCGCAGATTAATCTTGGTATTTGAATTATTGCATCTTCTGAAACCTAGAATCAGTGTTCAAGAGGATTTTCAAGGAGTCGCTGGGACTTCAAACAAAAGCACAGAGTTAGACAAAGTGTGCCCTTTCCTACCTTTTTTTTTCTTTGGAAAGGTATTATGTTTTTTAGAAACATAACCCATGGTCATTTTGAAGAAGTTAAAATGGTACAGAAATATGGAAATTAAAATCCCCCCATCCCAACCCCAGAAGAGTCTATGAGGCTTGTGGGGAATGAGGGGTAGCCTTGGTTGGGTGCCAGGCTCTGGACATTCAAAGGCAGCTTGAGGTACCTGGAGAGGGAGTCCTGGGAAGCACAGGGGACTGTGAAAAGGGGTAGAGTGGCTTTAAAGGTAGAAGTGGGCCAGGCATGGTGGCTCATCCCTGTAATCCCAGCACTTTGGGAGTCTGAAGTGGGAGGATGGCTTGGGGCTAGGAATTTGAGACCAGCCTGGGTAACATAGTGTGAAACATCTCTACAAAAAAATTGAAAAAATAAAAAAAAAAATTAGCTGAGCGTGATGATATATGCCCGCATTCCAAGTTACTTGGGAAGCTGAGGCAGGAGGATCACTTGAACCCAGGAGGCTGAATCATCAGTGAGCCAAGATCATGCTGTCAGAGGTGTTTGAACTAGAGCAACTCCATCTTGAATAGGGGCTGGATAAAATAAGGCTAATACCTACTGGGCTGCATTCCCAGACAGTTAAGGCATTCTAAGTCACAGGATAAGATAGGGGGTCAGCACAAGATACAGGTCATAAAGACCTTGCTGATAAACAGGTTGCAGTAAAGAAGCCAGCTAAAACCCATCAAAACCAAGATGGCAATGAGAGTGACCTCCGGTCATCCTCACTGCTACACTCCCACCAGCACCATGACAGTTTACAAATGCCATGGCAATGTCAGGAAGTTACCCTATATGGTCTAAAAGAGGAAGGCATGAATAATCTACCCTTTGTTTAGCATATCATCAAGAAATAACCATAAAAATGGGCAATCAGCAGCCTTTGGGGCTGCTCTATGTAGTAGTCATTCTTTTATTCCTTTACTTTCTTAATAAACTTGCTTTCACTTTACTCTGTGGACTCACCCTGAATTCTTTTTTGCACAAGATACAAGAACCCTCTTTTGGGGTCTGGATCGGAACTCCATTCCTGTAACATCTTTCTGGCAACGCAGATGGGAGTATAGTGTGGAAACCCCAACCCAAAGGCTAACTTTGGGTAAGTGGTGAGGTCTGGTAACATCTTTCTGGTGACCCACGGAAGGAACAATACTGAGGAGACCTCTGACCCAAAGGAAATAAACTGCAGCACTGATTGGCTGACTTTGGGTAAGTGGTGGGGTACCTGTGTAAATAATGGCATTGGGTTAGAGGCCCAACTTAGGGGAGTTAGAACCGCTCCTAAGACAGAGTGGGTTAGAGGTCCCTCTTAATAAAAGACAAGGATACTTGAACGACCTTGGGTTAGAGGTCCAACTTAGGAGAGTTAGAGTGCTTTCTAAGATTTAGGGGTTAGAGGCCCCTCTTGGTAAAGTCCCTTTTGGCTAAGAATGGGTTTGGCACTATGGGACGTTAACTGCTATTCTCTTTGGATTAGTCTGTCTTGCACTCTTTGCTGATGGCTGTGGGTGACAGGATTAGGCATGTACAGGATTGTGGGACATGGGGAGCTTTTTCTTCCCTAAAAAGGGAAACTTGAGAGCTGATGAAACTGCTGGAAAAAAATCCTTTCACTGCTGACAAGCAGCTGCCTGAACTTTTCCGTGTCAGCTGCAATGGGTGGGTCTTTCTCTGGCCTCCCTGAGCATTTCGCTCTTCGCCTTCCCCATCCTACCTCAGGCAGTGCTCTCGCTCTCAACTGGATAAATGAATGGTTAAAATTAATGTTTTTTTTCTCTGTAAAGTTTTGATTAATGGGGAAAAGGATTTGCAAGGTTAATCTTAAGCTTTAGAAAATCTAGTGTGCTTTGTGTGTCTTTCTGCATTCTGTAATGGAGAGGAATACTTTAGGCTAGAATGTAGCTAGAATGTAGCCTAGGACCTCTATGAGTCTGCTGTTCAGGACACCCCAGCAAACTGGTCCTTATGACCAAGTTATTTCCTTGGGAGCTTGACTTTATAACCATGTGGCTATGCTTTTTCTTTTCACAATGGTGGCCTGGGTTCAGAGTTCAATTCCCAGCTTAGAGAATAAATCCTTTATCTTATTCATGTGATATAAAAGAGATTTAATCATTTGGCTTAAAAATAAGTGCTTTAAATCAAATTTTTTGTCAGAAAAGTGAAAAGTGTAATGCCTTTATTTAGTTCATGTAACTTAAGTAATCTTTGGGAAATAAAGACAGTTTTAAAGATTATTGGTATAATAAAAATGTCTTCAAAAATATAAACATTTGGTCTAAATTATGCAGGTCAGATATTAAATGAGCATTTATGACCTAAATGCTTTAAGGTCATAAACTGCTTCTTTGACTTTTGAAAATTGTTCAATTTACCCACTTTGGAGCATTAGATTCTAGATAAGACCTGGAGACATGTGGAAAGCCATGCCACCTAGCTGTGCTAGAAAGAGTCAGCCCTTATCTGTACTTCTGCCTGGTGTGTTCTAGGCTAGGCTCCACACCTATTGCATAATTAAAATAGCTTACTAACCAGGTTTTTCACCAAAAGTAAATGTTGCTAAGAGTTAACATTGAATTTGTAATTAACACTACTGAAGAAACAGTTCTATACACAAGGCATATAGAATAGTGAAATGTGTTTTTGGTAAAAAAAAATTATAACAAGCCATGAGAATGTGGATTTTTTTTTTTTGCCCAGATTAGAAGGTTAAAGGATTGTTTTAAGTTAGATAGAATAAAGCTGAAGGTTTAAGCAAGTTGTGGAAGTTTGTGAAAAATTAATCTCGTAAAAGAAATTCTGTGTGTGAACACATTAGTAAAGTTAAAGGGGGTATTATTCAGTTTTTCTGTAAACTAAACATTGGAATAAAAGCAAAACAGGTTTTTCTTAAAGCAAAAACCTGCTTATGATCTGCTCCTTAACAAAAATTTGTAAAGGGTTATAAAAGCTTTATGAAAATTTTACCTTATGGTCAAACTGATTAAGATTAAATACATTTGTCTATAAGATTTTATTAAGAATTGAGATTGACATCAATAATGCACTAATGTAACAGTGACATTTGACTTATTCGGTGTAAAAGTCATACAGGAAGCATTGTCAAATATGAAATGGTGTTTGGTTTTCTTTGGGCTGTATTTGTATAAATGTGTTATTGGTATATGTATCAAAATTATGGAAAACTCCTGTAATTCTTATATGACTTAGTGTATGTTATTAATAATTATAATTGTCACATAAAATCAATTGTGCCACAGAGATAACCAAATTTCTTTGTCAATCATGTTTCTGAATGTGGCTATCCTAAGACGTTTTGTCATCCACAAACAATTATTGTCTTGTTTTGGTCCTCTTTAGAAGGTGGTTTATAATCAACTGTAACTCTACCAGGTGTTCTTAAATGCAAGTTTCTGATAACTTTGGAAATTGTGACATTAAAATAGAGGAAGCAACTTTCAGAACTCTCATGGGGAGCTGAAATGTTCACAAATATCAGGCAAAACAGGAGATAACTGCATGGACTAAACTAATGGAAGTCTAAAGTAATCTTTTAAACTTTTTGCTTAAAATGTTGCTAATCCTTTGTTTTGTTTTTCAGAATCAAGGAAACTTTTCAGTTATTTATACCTTTTAGTAATTAAGGAAAGTATATGCCTATGAACAAAACTTGAAGCATTTTATTTCGCTCTACCTAATTTCTCCAGAATTTGGAAACTATTTGTGAGTATTCTTAATTTATGGCGATATAGTTATTTGCATAACTGCAATAAAAATCTGTTTTCTTTTGCAACAGGAGATACTGGTTATTTTACCAAGGCTTTAACTAGAATTGTGTGTTTTCCTTTAAAGAATTAAACTTGCCTTATGGAGCCAATAAAAGTCCCTTGGGAGAAATGGCTTTATACCTTGTCTACACAGGGTTTCTGACCTGTGGTAAGTAAAGAATGCCACTTTCTAACAGGCCCAGGAGCGCTTTTTTGATTTTCCAAGCTATCTTGGAAACTCAAATTAGAGGAATTTACTCAACTCGTAGGTATTTGATGGTACAAACCCACGGCAGGGCTCAGCTCTAAAAATAGTCTTATCTAAATTTTTTTTTTTTTTTTTTTTTTTTTTT